GGGGCATTGGAGGTCTGCAGAAAGGTGTTGCCCAAACCTGCCAGCTTTATGCACCTCAAAATCATAGCGGTCATAGAGTGGACCATTTTTATGAGCACTATAGTGCCCATATTTGGATTTTTGAGTGTCCATATGAAGTACTGGTAGGAGCGTATGTATTTTGCAAATCGTGGGGAGTTTGTGAAAAATACTGCACCCAGTTCTCATCTCAGATCTTCCATGTGCAGGCTGGTAGTGAGCAGAGGGACTTGCCCTGAAATCCATATCTTTAGCAGATTCTGGTTTGAGAAGTACTGCCTTGGAAGAAGTAGACACGTTGGAGCAAATGTGGTTGGTTCATTCATGCAATAGTTCTTTATGGCGTGGTCATCCTGGGGCTGGGGATACAGCAACAAGCTGCTCAGGGAGCCTTCCAGTCCAGCAGGGGGTTGGGCCTCAGCCTAGTCATGCCCCACATCACCGACACCGTCACTCCATGGGGGCCCAAGGCTGTGGGCACTGGAGCAGGGGCCCCCACCGGACTCAGGGCTCAGGACAGCCTGCCTGGGGCATGAGGCAGAGCAGAGAACCAGAGGACGAGGGGCGCTCCTGCGCAGCTGCAGGCAGGAGGCACGGGGCTCAAAGGCAGGGGGTTGCGGGGGCCAGAGATGCGTCCTGGGAACAGGGTAGGCAGGAGCGGTGGGGGGACGTGGACAGTCAGTGAGGGAGGACATGGCAGGACCCCTGTCCTCAGCCCCCAGAGTTGACAGCGCCAACGTACACCTGCCCACGGCCACTTGCTCAGGTTTCCTAGTGGCCGTGGCTGGCTGGAATCTGGGGACAGGGATGCGGGTCCATGCCCTCTGTCAGAGAGGCACTGGGAAGAGGGGGTGTGGGTACTTGGGCTGACACCAGCCTCTGTGGCACCACTCCAGGTCGTGACACTCACGTGTGTGTCTCTCCTAGATCCTGCCTGGGTTGTACATCGGCAACTTCAAAGGTGAGTTCTCTCTTTTTCTTATTATTGTGGTAAAATACATATAACATAAAATTTACCGTCTTAATCATTTTAAAGTGCACAGTTCAGTGGCATTAAGTCCATCCACAGTGCTCTGCAGCCATCACCAACGTCCACCTCCAGAACGTCTTCGGCTTCCCAAACTGAAGCTCCATGCCCGTTAAAGACTAACTCCCCATTCCTCCCTCCCCCAGCCCCTGGCAACCCCCGTTCTACTTTCTGTCTCTATGAATTTGGCTGCTCTCGGGACCTCATGTAAGTGGAATCACACAGTATTTGTCCTTCTGTGACTGGCTTGTTTCACTGAGCATAAGGTCTTCAAGTGACATCCATGCTATAGCACGTGTTAGAATTTCCTTTCTTGTTAAGGCTGAATAATATTCCCTTCTGTGAATATACCACGTTTTGTTTTCCTTTCATCTGTCCATTGTGCATTTGGGTTGTTTCTACCAAAGATGAGTTCATTTTTTAAAAGATCAGCTTTAGACTTCTCTCGCATGATTGACAGGCAAGGAGTAGGCTCACTTTGCTCAGGCCCTCAGCCTAGTGCAGACCCCTCACCAGCGCTGCCTCCACCTCGGGTCCTCCTCTCAACTCTCCGTGCTGGCAGGGCATTATCATCAAAAGATGGTGGACAGCAGGCACATTTATCAGCCATGTGACTTATTTATAATCCGTTGCCACTTGGTTTTCCAGTTATTGTTAATGAATTTTCAGAAGCGCATTTTTTTAAATCACCTGGGAAACAGGAGTGTCAATTTCATCTCTGGCAGATTGTTGTCACCTTGCGTTGACTTCTCACACATCTGCTGGCTGATTTTCAGTATTTACTGATTTGCTGTCAGCTATTGACTTTATTTTCGCTTATCCACATGGTGGTCATCAGGCTTCTGGGTTTCTAGGGAGGGGCGTGTGGCTGTCTGAGTTTGTGTAAGTGAAAGCACTGGTTCTGTGGCACTGAGATGAGGTGACTTATAGGAGGGCACGGACCTAGGAAACCCGCAACAACGAGTCCCCACCCGTGCTGGGTTGGACAGATCTGAACCTCCTCATCGCATCGGAGGCTTCTCCCTCTCCCAGCAAGCAAGAATGTGGGCGGAGTCCTGACACTCTCCTGTCTGTCTGCTGGCTGTTGCTTGACTTTGTGAGCTCAGGCTCAAATGATATCCTTTATCATTTCTCTGCATAGTGTTTATGTCCCTTTCATCCCTCTGGTAGGCTCCTAGTGCTGCTAATTGGCCTCAAAGAGAATTGAGCACAGGGAGCGGACAGCTGCTAATTGCTACTAGGATATGTTAAAAATAGTATTGGAGTTCCAAAATTAGTCAGCTTTTTGGAGTTCTGAAAAAGCAGTAAGTTCTTTGTAATAGGGCAAGTGGCCTGGGATACATCAACTGGACAAATATCTTTATAGAGTTATTTAGTGAGTTATTATTAACTGCTTTCATGGGGGGGTGTCTTTATGTTTGAAAACAGAGTTTAAGATAAGTTCTTAGAAGTAGAATTGCTAGGTGAAAGTGTTTGCAAATTTAAAATTTTTGTAAATATTGAGCAAATTTAATACTTCTGCCAACAGTGTATGAGAGTTTTAGCCTTACAGAAGGTCATCTTCCTTCAGAAGGACACGCATGCATAGCTTAAAGGAAATATTTAAGACTCATTTTATACTAAAATCTATACAGTTCCTGGGTTCTTCTTTTCTAGTTTCACCTGTTAGAGTGTCCTCAGCAGCCACAGCCTGTCCTTGTTCAGATGGCTGATGTGTTCTCATTACCTCGGTCAGTCTGATGTTAGTCTGTGGGTGTGTTTTATTTACTCATTAATTCACCAGACATTTATTAAGCATTTACCAGGTGCAAGGCTTACCTAGAGCAAAGGAATGATAGTGCAGTGAGCCGGCAAGAAGCTGAAGGAAAGGAAGCATAGTGTCTCTACAGTGCTGCAAATTCACTCGTTTCACATGCTGGTTGGGAGTGCACCATGTGCTGGGATGTCAACAAGTGTCCTTGTCCTCAGGTGTTCAGAGTCTGGCGACAGGTACAGAACAGGAAGGGGCATGCAGAAGCAAAGAAGCTGTCTGATGGCCTGCCTGGAATCACAGCGAGCCCTCTGCCCAAGGGCAGTCATGTGCCCTCAGGCGAGCTCCACTCTGGGCATGCACAGTGGGCCTCAGGGGCTGCACTTAGTGGGCTCAGTGCCTGGCACCGTTGGCATACACTCACTGTGGGTGGTCTGCAAGCACAACAGCTGCTTATAAGGCACTGACACCTTGCCAGATCTGCAGCAGGTGGCTGCACTACATTAGTTAGCAAGGGTGAATCCAGCTGCCATCTGAACTTAGCGTGGCTTCTCATTGAGTCATTTATCCTTCTTCTTTCCAACTGCAGGTGATACTACATGCCTAATGTAACACAACAGCCAGGGCAGAGATGCACACAGGGAAATCAGTCACTCTCTTCTCTTTTCCCAGCTCCACACTCCCCTCCCATCCCTTCCTCCCCTCTTCTCTCTCTCTCCCTCCCCTCTTCATCCTTCCACTGGGATCCCTTACACATCACTCTGCAACTTCCTTTCTTTTTCTTCCTAACTTTGCGATGAATCACAAACAGTTTTCCAACACCTGGTGATTTTTTCTTCACCTAGAGAAAAGCCACGGACAGACTCAGCTTCTGGAGCCTGGTCTCTGTGGCTTTGAGGAGAGCCCCTCGGTGGAGGTGCCAGTAGCCAGCAGCTGGCTCCACCTGGTGCTTGCCGGGAGGGAAGGCGGAAGGGAGAAAGAGCAGCTCCTCTCTGGGCCGGAGGGTGGGGTTCATTGCTTCTCACATCTCGGCACAGGCAAGAGTGGATCTCAGTGGACAGAGGAAGCCTCATGGTTTGAAGACGTCCACAATCATTTAGAAGACTGGGAACACGCGCAGGACTATGCGTGTCCAGGGGTTGTGCACAGGGACAAGGCCTGAGGGCTTCTGATCTGTGTCTGCCATGAGACGGACATTATGCAGATAAGGTAAGCTTGAGGGGGTCTGCTGTCCGCTTAGCCCAGGAGAGCCAGGTGCTGAGCGATGCGCAGGTGGAGGAGAGCTGGGTTCGAGTGTTTTGCAGGAAGTGTGGATTTGAAAACCTTCAGAGGTGACGCATATTGAGGCTCATACCATAGCCTTGGGACTTAATGTTGTCCTGATATTAATGGTGATAATGACGACCACACATTTGCTGCATGCCAGGCGCTGTCCTAAGAGTTTTATGCCATTTAGGCCTCACAGCAGCCCTTTGAAGTGGGTACCCTTACCATTGTTCCCCTTTATAGGGGACAAAAGTTGGGCACAGAGAGGCTTGCCCGAGGTCAGCACCAGGAAGTGTCAGAGTCCAGAAGGGAACAGGCAAATCCTGACCCTTTTCGGTCCCCAGGTTAGAAATGGATCCACTTAGAGGCTGAGCCCACCGACAACTAATTTATAACTCGAGACATCAAGTTAATTTCTCAGTTGGGAAGGAGAGCTGCAAAACAGATGGGAGTCTCTAGCCCAGCGTCAGCACGTTCTCCGCCTGGGGGGCAGACGTTGTTTGGGCAATGACTCAGGATGAGGCGTGGGGTGTGGGCACAGCAGAGGCAGCGGCACAGTCCCTTAAGACAGTCCATGCTCGGAGTCCCTGAGTCAGTGTGGCGGGTGCTCTGAAAGGCACTGCCGAAGATGTTCCTTCCTACCAGGCATCCCTTCTTCCAGAGAGTTCGTGCTGGTGGTGCCAATGTCTAGAGCTTGCTCCAACATTTTTCTGTTAATATTCTTCAGAGGCACTGCTGCTTGTCTTTTGCCAGACTAGCTCATTTCCCATGGCCGCTCCGGCACCCCCACCCCTCGGGCTGGCTACCCTGCTCATCTTCTATATCAGCGTAAGAATTAGAGTGCTAATCTGCCTCCTAGGGAGGCATGTGGCTGCCACTTTGCCCTCTGAGGACAGCATCTTCCAGTGAAGCCACCTCTGCCTCAGCAAGGTCTTTCCAGCGCCACAGAGGTCCTTCCTCTGGGCCATGGACAGAGTGAACAACCTGGAGGGGAAGGAACAGGTAGGCGTTTCTATTTGGGGGCTCACTTTGTGGAGGAGTCATTTGTTTCTTCTGAAGGCACATGAGGCCTCTGGGGTAAACAGAGGCAGGTGGCAGGAGTGGGCAAGAGTGCAGGGTCCAGGGCAGACGCTGGCAGAGGGAGGGAAAAACATAGCTAACAATTTTCACCACTGAGGCATTGACTGTTCACTTCACTTATTGTTGTGTTTACATTGAATTTTGTGAACAGTATGTTTTTACTTTATTTTTCCTGATTACAAAAGCAATGTGGGCTCATCATTTTAAAAAAAAAGTCCAAACATGGTAGAAATATGTTAAAGAGAGTGAGATTTGCTACAGTCCCACATCCTGAGGTGAGCATGCTTAATAGGTCAGCCTATGTCTCTCTACTTTTTTTCCCATGTGAATTCTAACTTGTAATTCTCCTATTGCTTTTATTAATACTGACTTGTTGCTTTTGTGATTGAAAGTGGCTATGAGTGGTTTTCTGGCTTAGAAATAGCATTAACACACCACAGTGGGGAAGGGGCCCTTGGGACCAGGTCAAAGGTCACTTTCTCCAGGCCCTCCTGGGCTTAGTGGGTGTGTAGGGTGCATGTGACCTTCTGGGGTTCTTATCAATGTGCAGGTTCTGATCAGATAGGTCCAGGTAGGCCTGGAATCTGCATTTCCAACATGCTCCAGGTGATGCCATGTGGCCAGCTGGTGGGCCCCACATTCAGTACCAAAGAGCTGAGTTCTGCCTCTGAGATTCTGTGCTCAGGAAGAGCTGGTCTGATACTTGCGCGTTAGCCAGGTGATGCCCCATGTCGGGTCTCACAGCTGTGCTCACAGCTAGGAGGTGGTCCAAGGTCGTCCTCCAGAGCCATCTGTCATCTACAGCCAGTGAGAATGAAAGTCCAGTGTCATCACCCAGGCCAGCAGACAGAGCCCATGCTGCCTGGGAGAAGATGTGCTAAACAGAACGTGCAAGCAGGAGAAGGGCATCAGCTGAGGGTTGCCTCCCTTTTTGGTGTCCAGTAGTCAGTTGGCTCATTTGTGGTATCGAGTGGTCTTCTGTATTCACAAATGTATAATCCTATTCCCAAACCACTTTATAAAAATCTTAATCTGTGTTAGAAAAGTTTATTTATGGGGTGACACAAATATTCTAAAGTTAGGTTGTGGTGGTGGTTGCATAACTCTGTGAATGTACTAAAAACCATTGAATTTTACTTTAAAAGGATGAATTTTATAGTATGTGAATTATAACTCAATCAAGCTGTTGTCAAAAGAAAAAAGTACATTAAACAAATATTGATTGTTAAAATCCAGATGCTAGGCACAGTCAGAACCTAGAGGGACCCAGGAGGGGACCCTGCGGCTGCGTGCCTCCTGAGCGCCTGCAGCCTCCAAGGGTTGTCCACGAGCTCCGGAGGCTCCAGCTTCATCTTGTGTCTCTTCTTGTCTAAAACACACGTACTGGCGGTGACTGAAAAATCACATTTTGCTGTGATGTGGGGGCTGGCTCCGTGTGGGTTCCTAAACAGTTCTATCCCAGCCCAATTCAGAGCTAGTCTCATGATACCTCAGCTTTGGGGGGCGTTGGCACTGAGCTGGAGTGAGGCGGCCAGCGGTCGTGCACGTGGCAGTCTGACGCTTGAGATGGCTGGAGCGATGGGGAGAGTCTTCACCTAAACCAATATCATGTTATTACTTTTAAAGACTTTTTCCTGACATTGCTGAATGTTTAGAATAATGTGTGTTAATTTCTGCTCCATCGTTGAGGCTTGTTGGAAGCACAGGTCCTCAGCTTGGCAGCAGACCCATCGCTACATGGGACGGAGCCCGGGCGTCTGCCTTTCTAACTCGCCTCCCAGATGATTCACAGTTATGTTGAAATTTTAGACACACTGATGTAGAATGCACACCAAAAAAAGAAAAAAAAAATTCATAAAGACAAGAAAAATAACACTCATAATTTCATGGTTTCATTAGGGGCTAAGTCTTTATACCATCCCTCCCACCCTGACACGTTCATGTAGTTTGGTACCTGCTTTTTTTACCTGCTTAACATTATATCCTGAGTAATTTCCCATGCCATTAAATATTCTCCAGGAACATGATGGTTAAGCACTTACCTTTTAGTCCATTTTACCCTGAATCATTTTGAAAAGCTTGGCCAGGCCACGACAGGGGCCTAGGGAAGCTGATCTCCTCATTTCTTGCTGAACCACTGTTCTGTACATTAGCAGAAGGGTCCCAATTCAGGGGATCATGTCACTTGGTCTTCTTTCTATAGGAAGGAGTGCTGGAAGGGAGTACAATTTTGGTATCTCCTTAGTTTCCTATGCAGATAAACTAATAGCAGCTGATAACTGATGGGCAATTCTGTTTGGAATTTCCAGAAAATGTTCAGTTTTTTACTTTTGCCCTAAACTGAATATAGACTCTGTAAACCACAGTCCTGTATGAATCTATGCCTGTCCCTGCTTTTGACATCAGGGTAAAGAAATACCTGGCAGGTTCTTATATCTTATATAGTAAGTTAGTCTCTTATATTCAGTTGTAACTTAGATTACTAATCATTAAGAGGTCATTGAGGTTTTTAATATTTTAAACATCCTTATTGTTACATGTCTTATGTAAAAGACTGGCCTAAGTGTCTGTAGCTTACAAACGCTGACTGCAGACTACAGAATAACTTCGTAAGTTCATTTTCTTTGAACAGCAACCATCATGATTACAATGTTTATTCATCTAAGTACATTTCAGGTTTTAGATTAATACCTTGGATCAAAAGATTTGCCAATCAGGAATAAACTTAGGCAAAATACATAAAAAGCAATAGCCCTAAATTCCCTAGTTCTAGATAATTCTACGTATGGTCAATTATGAAGTTTCGAGAAAAAAATATGCAAGTCATTTTGTGGTTTTTTGTTTTTGTTTTTGTTTTGCTAGACTTTAGGAGTAATTAACTTGTAGAGAATATTAAAATGTCCCTCCATCCCCTTTCTTCTGTGACAGATGCGAGAGATGCAGAACAGTTGAGCAAGAACAAGGTAACACATATCCTGTCTGTCCACGATAGTGCCCGGCCTTTGTTGGAGGTAAGAGAGGGTGTGGTGTGTCCACACGTGTGCATGTCTCATTTGTATCCCGTGGGGGTGCACGTGACATTTTTGAAGAGAACGCGTTCTCTGTGACACTGGTGTGCTCCCATGATGGCTGGTGAAGTTAACTTTGCACTTGGGTTGTGTTTCTGTCAATGCCTGTCTGTGGCAGGTGGAGGGTGTGTTCTTTTTCTGATCATAACATGCTGCATTGCCAGCATGACTTTCTTGGCTAGATGTCAAAGAATAAGCTGATGCTGCATTTCCCTTGGGACTTTAAAGACATTTAAAACCCATTTTCATTCCTCTAAAAATTATTTCTGGTTTTTGAATCCAAAAGCATTCAGGCTGCTCATTTTCTGATTTTTTCCATTTAAGCTCATCTATCTACATTTGCATTCAGGAGTGAAAAACATCGGAAGATAAATTGTCCCTGGAGATTCTCCAGGGCTGCTCTGATAGGGAGACTATTGGTATAGAAGCTGTTGTGTTTTAAGTCTTTGGGGTAAACAGGGTGTGTCTGCTTGTGCACCAATTCCAAAAACATCTTCAATTTTATGCTGATGGGCGGTCTGAGCTGTTGGCCAGGAGTAAAATCTATTTTTGCTTATTAGCCTCGACAGAGCCCAAGGTACCTCTTTTTAGAAATGATGCATGTGTGGTTGTGATGCAGACGTGTTTTTCTATTTTAGGGTGGGGTGTTGGAAAGGGAGGGGTGACTTGTTCTGAAAGAAATAATCCTGGTTCAAGCTGTTTTTATTTAAATTCATATTATGCAAGACTAGGTAATTTTTTTTATTTTAAATTTATCTATTTTCTTTACATCAGAGCAGCCAGTTTTTTTAGTATAAAGCAAACTAAAACACATGAGGATGTAGAGTAACGAACGATGTGTGAGGTGATGTGCAAGACCTCGGTTTACTTCTTCAGATCCGTGAGCTTGTACCCCCTTCTGTTGTTCCCACTCACGGTGTTCTGCTGAGGTGCTGTGATCTGGGTTGCAGCATGATTTTATTGGAAGAAACAACAGCAGCAACAGCCGAACAGTTTTTGGAGCCTAACTGTTCCTTTGAAAATAGCTACTCCTTTTTTAAAATCTGTCAACAACAGTTTGTTTTTAAAATATAACCAAGCTGGGCTCGCCCGGTGGCGCACTGGATAGTGCGCCGCTTGGGAAGCACAGCAGCGCTCCCACCCGAGGGTTCGGATCCCACATACGGACCGGTTCCCGCTCACTGGCTGAGCGAGGCACGGGAGCAACACCGAGGGTTGCGATCCCGTTGCCGGTCCCCGGTCCGGTACGGGCGCAACACTGAGGGTTGCGATCCC